AGTTTCAGTGATGTCATATTGTTCTTTAATTTAGCCGGAATAGCAAGCTGCTTTCGATCATCTGTACACGTGCCATTTAATTTGTGTATTACACAAATCTTTCCACGAAACAGACAGTTTTAAGTGCAAAAGGTGCGAAAGTGCAGAATCACTCCAGCATCCCCTTAAAACTCGAACAAACGTTAATGGAGCTCTTTGCAGGGTCTGAAACGTTCCCGAAATTTTATTTTCTCGTTTTCCCTTGCAGTCCTCCGTTGGAGGCCGGGGCTTATAATGGAGTTGATGATCGCGGATTCTAGATTGGCCTATCGTTGTCAAATAAGCAGAAGCCGCGGGCAGCACGCAACCGTTGCGTCAACACGATCGGGGAACGCTTCGAAAGTTGCGGAAGCCCGGAAGTTACGAAGCCCGCTACTTTCCCGTGAGCGTTCGAGAAGGTCGTGGGCGGCGTACTGTCTATCAGATACATCGCGTCCGACGTTCGCATAACGCAATAGCGAACGTCGATGCTTTATAAGAGACACTCACGATGTATGACAAACGTTCGCCTTAAACATTTCGCAGATACGATCGACAATCCGATTCGAGCGGACTTATTAATTTTCGCTTTCCCGTATTTACGAAACGTTTAATAATCCGCATTTACATGGAAATTGCGTCATTTCTTTCATCGTGACTGTCAACTATCCGTGAAATGCGTTGATATTGTTGATTAAAGATAGAAACTTATTCTTTTGGCGTGTCGTATAATATGAAGTTAACGGGGTATCAGGTAACGTTTCCTCATGCATATATACTACTGTATAAACTGAAGGAGCATATTTTTTATGTAAATAAATTGAAGTAGAAAATCTTCTATAAACGTGGGTCCAAATCAAAATAATTATCCATCTTCGAATATTTAAAGTTTGTCGAATGCAAGTCCGTTCAAATGGTAGCGTACGTTTTTAGGATACGTATATTAGAAATAAAGAGTAAGAAAGAAAATGTACACGGACAGAATTTTCCTGCAAAATTTACCCTGAAAATTACGTAATCGTGGGACAACGTGGCATTTTAAAGAGCTTTGTGAGAGAGTTTTAAAATTTTACTACACATTTTACTAGTAAAATGTAGCTAGTGGGACACTTTAGAATACTTTTATATTAGAAATAAAGAGTAAGAAAGAAAATATATTATACATGGAGAGAATTTCCTTTCAAAATTTACCCTTATCTTAAAAGTATCTTAAAAACGTACGCTACCATTTGAACGGACTTGAATTCGACAAACTTTAAATATTCGAAGATGGATAATTATTTTGATTTGGACCCACGTTTATAGAAGATTTTCTACTTCAATTTATTTACATAAATTACGTAATCGTGAGACAACATGAGTTTTTAAAATTTTACTATACATTTTACTAGTAAGATATGATCCCACAATACATGATTTTCAGGGTGAATTTTAAAAGAAAATTCCGTGTAGAGATAACATAAATTATGCAAATTGACATCCTTCGAGAGATAAAAATTTAAGTGAAATCCGATCATTTCCAAGTAAGACAACAATAGATGAATAACCGTTTCGAATTGGATCCATATTCATAGGACATTCTCTGCTTCGATTTGCATCAGAAACATGATTCTTCAGTTTATACAGAATATCATGTAACATCTTGTGTATATGTATACATACACACACACAGATGTATATACGCATGTATTAATGATTAAGCATATTGAATAATTAACGTTCAATTTGTGTATCAATTTCATTCCGCAGTGTGTCCAACGGGATTCTGGGGCCCGCACTGTACGAAAGTGTGCAACTGCGGTGAGAGCGATATCTGCGATCCCGTAAACGGCACTTGTCAATGCTCTTCAGGACTACAAGGACCGCGGTGAGTGTTTAAGAATATCAATGGCCAGTGTTTATTGAGCGATGAAGAGTGACACGAGTCAGCGACCGTTTGGCAAACCACGTTGAGCCGGATGATACTGTAAAAATGATGCTCTTCCTCTTGCAGATGCGAGGAGCGTTGCGCGATCGGGCAATGGGGCCCGCGTTGTGCAAACGAGTGCACATGTCAAAACCGAGATAATGGCTGTGATGCCGTAACCGGAAGCTGCATCGACGACGACGGCGACGACGCCTTTTCGGTCGAGCAAACGTCGCCCGCTTATTTGCAGAGCTCTACTGCCGACCGTCCACCGCAAACACCGGGAATTACCAATACGGAGCACACGGAGGTGGTCTCCGTGCCGCGTGGAACTACCGAACGTCAGACGGAAGGTGAAATAATACGCTTAATCGCGGAGAGCGTTTACGCTTCAGGGTTGCGCAGCTGTTTGCCCGAAGATGTAGAAATGTATCCGAACGCTTTCGAACGCTGGAGACGGGCGAACTCGGGGGGGAAAAAAAGTTACCGAATAAGATTAGCGTTAGGGAAAGCACGTTCCTCGCTCTACTTTCGCATCTTGACAAGTACAAGTACAATCCGATACGTTCGCGCTGCCACGTGTAAAATTGATACGCGAAGCTTTGGTTTCTCACGCCAGTTGATTGCTGTGGTCTAGCGCGATTAAATAATTAATAATTAACTAACAATGTACGTAGAATTAAAACTCGTAACATTTCGTGTTAGTCGCAGGTATCGATGGCAATTGGAAGGACATAAATTACGTTTCGGAAACGACGAGTCCGACGACAGCTTCGATCGCGGCCCCTTCTCAAGGAACTAGGAACTCGGCAAACGAAACGCAAACGAAGGGTCCCTCCACGACCGCTCGGCCTGTGATCGTCTTGGTCTCCGTTCCTGAACGCAGAAGGGACGTCGAGAAGGATAGGCAAAAGTTCGCGACAAAGGACGCTCTTCTCGGACACGTCCAAGGCGACGAGAGCGCGGCAAGTGTCGATTACGTGAAAACCATTGACAAAGGTATTGTCTCGAGATTTCAGAAGTATAAATCGCTCTATTGATGAAACTCTAACGTCTCTGTTGCCGCGGCAGACGACATTCAAACGCCAACGCCGATTCCGTTGGACATCGCTCTGATCGTCGTCGCCGCGATCGTCTCCCTCGGCCTGACCTCGCTCGCGGTGGTTATGGTTCTTCATATGCGCTCCAAGCTCTTCGAGACCATTCGTCTCGCCGTCTACGACGACGAGAAGACCAAGGGCCAGGAACGCGAGAGCGCGAACGGCGGAAGGACGTCCACGGTGATGAACGCCACTCTGCCCCGTGAGTATCGAGAGTTGCACGTTCACCTGTCAGCGCAACATTCTCTCCTAGACCGTCAGTGAAACCCGTGTCCTTGACCCGGATGGGTCTGGCCACGTAACCGTTTTCAGGATAGTCTTGACCATCATAGCCAGTGAGAAAGCTATCACGTCGATCGCGCGGCGTCGAGCCCTTAGTGCTACGTCCATTCAACTCGCGCTGCACTCGATATCCGTGCGTTACATTCGCCGATGTGTCATTGTGATTTCAGCACCCCCGATCCGCGCGAATCCGATATTTGCTATTAATACCGAACCGGAAACGATACTGACGGTCGATGGCATCGAATCGCTGAATACCTACGCTAACGGCGCCGCCACGATCGGCCTGCGAATTTCTGGCAATTTTCGCGGTAAGTTTCCGCTTTCCTATTAAATTTGTCGCGCCGTAATAAAACGTCTACGGATAGTAACGACAATCCGTATAACGCAAATGGTTTCCTTTCCATTTCATTTCGAAAGATTACAATTGTTACTTCGAGCAAACCGTGTTTTCTTTTCGGAAGATATTAGTCTTAAGGGGAGTGGTTTGATTTACCGACAGAGTCGGATACCGTTTTTGCGTTTGTAA